TCGGCGCATTCGCATTTCCCACGGTAAAGCGGTTCATAAATCGGGCAAAATGCGTGCCGTATGGAGGTAACCTGGGGCGATTTTTGGAGATAGTTACTGACCCCAGAGATATTGTATTGGGCTCACAAACTGCCTTGCACGGTGTCTATCATAAACATTTTATTGGCGGCTGCGCTGTGATTCAAAATCTGTGGGGATGGTTCCTGACCACTGATATCTTGCTAATCTATGCATGTAGGCTGTAATCAACCAAATCTGAGACGGGCGGAAAACAGCCTGTTTTCCACCCTGGGGCATGGATAGAGACACAGTTGACGGTGGTGGCCTCGTGTCGGTGTCGGTGTCGGCGCCGGGGTCGGTGTTGACGGCGGCGTCGGGGCGCCCAGCGTCGGGATCGGTCGTTGCAGCTCGGAGGGCGGCGCGAGCGGCATCAAACACGAGGTCGCATAATGACGGGAGCGAGCCCTCTTGCTTCTTCGAGCCCCAAGCGAGCCTCGAGGCATCCCTTCGCTCGCTTGCCCGACCTCCCTGCTCGAGCGCAAAAGTTGCAATTGAGCAGCCCTATTCGCCGCCATAACATCCGGCCTTGCCGACGACTTCCATATCCGGTTCCGAATGACAGGAGACAAGGCCGATTCGGAGGAATGTGTACGGGTGTACGCGGAGGCGGCTGATCATCCTTACTCTACCATAGCCAACCGACTAAGCTTCAACAAGCGGTGCATTGCGGTGGCGACGGAGGTGAACGACCAAACCTCCATCTCTGATGCTCATCATAGAGCCATGAAGCTTCTGCCTCGGATGGCATATCCTGGCGTGGACGTGAGATCGAGACTCGAGATTCTCAAGGGCGCGCAGGGGCTCGCCGTAACGGCCGCCATGCACGCGATCTCCAATCACCAACCGCGGATGGCCATAGAGTTCTTGGAACACGGACGTGCAATTTTATGGAATGGCATTTTGCAGTTACGCAGTCCTTTCGACGGTCTCCCAATGGAATTGTCACGTCGTTTGCGCGAGGTATCTTCCAGCCTAGACGAAGCTGGTTTGAGCCCGTCGCGCAACATATCCGAGAGCGAAGTATCCAGACGGCGCAAACTCGTTGACGAGTTCGAAGAGCTCCTACAACAGTCATGCCGCATCCCTGGTTTCGAACGCCTGTTACTCCCACTCGTGTTTGCTGATCTATGCCCAGCTGCATCCGAAGGGCCCGTAGTACTATTGATCGCCGCGGAAGACCTTGCTTACGGTATCATCATGCCGTCCGAGAACGCGGAGACCTACGTAGTCTCGCTCCCTAATGCCGGCGCTCTTCGTACGTCGAAATGGTCGGAGGCACTCACGCATGCCCAGCGGACTGCAAGGGCGAGGAATCGCGAAAGCTTTAACATCAAGGCCGGCAAGGGCGACGGAGGTCATCGCGACGACGACGTTCCCAGTCGGTTGCTTATCAAGAAAAAGAACCTCACGAACGTGAAGACATCTCACATACTGGAAGAGCTGTGGGAGAACATCGTCAATCCAGTCTTAACGTCCTTGAAGCTACCAGTGAGTTATCCAAAAAACCCGAAGTGAGTGGCTTTACTGACCAATGCGTTGTTCCTCAGTGGAGGGGTACTAAAGCGATCCGCCCGCGGCTCTGGTGGTGCCCGACGGGTCAATTCGTTTTCTTGCTGCTGCACGCCGCAGGGACTGCATCGGGAATGTGCACGTCTGATTACGTTGTCTCCTCCTATACACCATCTCTCGGCGCCCTTGTTGAAGCACGGAAGCAGCGTAACACATCTCCCTCGGACATACAGGTTCTACTCGTCGCTCAGCCGGAAGTTGCAGACAACGAACCCCTTCCGATGGCGGCCGAGGAAGTCTCCCAGCTGGCGATCATGCATCCTCCGGAACGCCTAGTAAGCATAATCCAGGAGGCTCGTGCGGCGCCAGCAGAGCAAAGCAGTCGCGGCACGATGAGCACAACGACCGTCTCAGACGTGCGAGAGGCAATCAGTCAGGCCTCTGTTGTACACCTTGCTTGCCACGCAAAGCAGGATCGCAACGATCCTCTCAGCAGCGGCTTTATTCTGGACGGAGGAACGCTGACAATAGCGGATATCGCTAGAGTGAGGATGCCCCGGGCCTTCTTCGCCTTTCTGAGCGCATGCGAGTCAACAGCCGGAGACGAAGCTCTTCCGGACGAGATCGTGCATTTGGCCGGGTCGATATTGTTCGCTGGTTTCAAATCCGTGGTGGGCACGATGTGGTGAGTGACCAACTCTGATGCCGAGTCCGAGTCGAGGGTAATTCATCGTTACCACCCCAAGGGGAATGTCTGATTTAGATGGACCGGCTGTGGCCAAGGAGGTCCACGAAGCGCTGCTGAGCGGCGGGTATGACGATCCCAGTCTGATTGCTCGTGCCCTCGATTCAGCCGTTGGTAGGTTGCGCGAGAGCAGTCTACCTCCCGAGCGCTGGGCGACCTATGTTCACATAGGTATATAGTATATAAACCTGAGGCTAAGATTGAATTCCATAGTCCGCGTAGAAGGCAAAGTAGCACACAAATATAAGCACCCGAATAGCATCCGAGAGCAAAACTCTAGCGGGAATGAACGAAGGGTACAATACTGGGATCAATAACAACTGCTAAAACTAGTATCCTGATGGTCGTGCGTATGACTTCGAAGTGTCGTAGGCCCTGATGAGTCGGGCCTGATCCTGTCGTCCCACATCTTCGGTCTGACTGAATGCGAAACCGCGATTGCGCCGCATGCGCTGTACGGCGCGTACTTTCTTGATCGCCTTTTGGAACCTATGCGGGAGTCAGAGTCTGCAGAGCGGCAGGGAGAAAGAGCACTGACTGTTCTTGCCGCGGCCGGTAGTCAGGAATGTTGTACTTTTGGAGTTCTTGGGCAATGTGATAGGATAGGGGGCTGTATGTTCTCCGGTAGCTAGAGGGCGGATGTTGAGCAAGATCGCCGTGAACGGTGGAAATGGTACCGACTATTTCCACACGAAGTCACGGGCAAGGCACACGATCGGCACGAGCAGCAGTACGAAGTAGAACACACCGTCGGTCCATAGGCGTGAAACGATGCCCTCGTACTCCGTCGAGAATCCGATAGCAGGGGCGACGGTGGCATACAACGGTAGAAACGCCATCGTAAACGCGAAGGAACCGGGTATCGCTAACACGATGATCAGCACGATTGTGACTAAGGTGATAGATACTTCGTACCTGCTACTGTGTACTTGGTCCACAGGCTGGATGGAACATGTTGAGCAACGATTGGCAACGTCGGGGAAAATACTCACTCGGAAATGAGAGCGGCTTTCCCCAGGACAGTCAACAGGACCGCGAGGTAGAGCGTCGTTCCCCAGAACCAGTGACCGGTGTCGAGACCGCTCGATTGCTTCAAGTCGCCCCACCACAGGATGACGGAAAACGCAAAGAGGATCTATCAAGTCTGCGATTAGCTAATGGACAGAGATATCGCAAGCAAGCTCACCAGGCTATGCCATAGCGCGTTCGCTACCCATTGCCAGAAGGCAGTGCGAGTGAAAAAGGTATTCTTTTGACCGAGGGTATACAGCTGTGGATACCGGTCCAATATCCGCGCCGAGACGAACTGATCGAAGATGCCGATGACGAGGGGTGGAAGCACGGTGAAGAGCACGTTGTACAAGGATAGAGTCCAGGACTCATAAGCGATCTGCCCTGAGAAGTTGTTGAAGAACGAAAACTGCGAGTTTGGCTTTAGTACGGGCAACTGACGTCATAGTCGATCATCTTACCCAAAACTGCGTCATATATAGAACGATATTCTTGTAGAAGGAATCTGAAGCTTGCGTGAGCTATCGGTTACAGATAAGCTCGGGACGGACGTACAGAGGATGAGCTTGGAAAGTCGGGTGTAGCTCCATGCGCCGTGAACCAGAAGCAGCTTCTTGAGATATCGGAATTGAGATATCGCTACGTCGGAAGAACGCGCCGCTTGCAAACCCTGGATTGCCGATCATGAATACAGACTCGTCCGCGGACGTTCGTGGCCCTTACCTCCAGACCGGATATGCCGACACCAACATGAGCGGCTTGGATCATGCTGACATCGTTAGCACCATCGCCAATGGCCAGCAAGATCGACTTCTGGTTCTTCTTCACGAGCTTGACCACAAGAGCTTTCTGCAGAGGCGACACACGGCCTGATGAAAAATCAGTATTGCGACCGTTTGACCATTGGTCTGACCCACAGCAGACGACGGCCTTGCACATGATAGCGAGCTCCAGGAACGACTTGTTCAACGGTTTCTCCAGCGCAAATGTGAGACTCTTGCCGTCTGCCCACGACGGGTGTTAGAGAGCACCGGGACGCATCGCTGCACGATACTTACCGATGATCAACGCCAGATCCTCCGTTTCGCCTGCGCTGCGTTGGTTCTTGATAGCGGTGAGACGCTTCATGATGAATTCCTCAGTTGCCTGAGCCGTCTCCTCGTTCACGATGACCTGTCGAAGCATGAGTGCCCGTCCGTATCATTCAGTACCACGCGGGCATACCATATTCATGGACTCCGAGATGAGACGGCAGGACATGCCGATGTTGATCGCTGTTTCCTGACGGTCACCGGTCAATACCCACACCTATCGACTTGTGTCAGCTGCGAGAGGTCCACAAGACAGCGCACGTTATAGACCTTTATGCCGGCCATCTGGAGAGTGTGGATGGTATCAGGAACACCCTCTTGCAGCTTGTCCTCGATCGCAGTGGCTCCGAGGAGGAACATGTCCTTCTCGATAGCTTCCGCCGCCTTGTCCAAGGCGTCGCCTCGTCCGTTGATCGTCGCCGCGGCCTGGTCGTACATGGCCGCCCACTGACGATACTCCGCGTCGGAGATATCGCGATAGGCGATGCAGAGCGTCCGAAGCCCTTCCGTCGCGTAATCCTAACGGACCGCGTTCGCGCATCAGCACCCGCGTGCACCGGCGAAAGACGACGAGCAGGAACGAACCTCGAGGTGCTGCAGGGTTTTCTCGGTGTAAGGTTGGTCCTTGCTCAGCCTTTCCAGGATCACGGTGTCCGCGCCCTTGCAGTAGAGCTTGATCTTCCCGTCCGGACCGCGAACGACGGTCGACATCCGTTTCCGCGTCGAGTTGAACTCGCACACGTTGAGGATCTCGAATTCGCGCGAGGAGCCGTGCATGTTGACGAACACGGACTTTGGTTTACGCGTCTGCGCGGTCCTCCTCGTCAGTTACCAAAAGGCGCGCAAAAAACACCGAGACCCGGGGGCAACGTACGTGGAACTGGTATCCGAGCAACTCCGCGCCGGCCACCAGCGCGGCCTCGTCGGGACTGCTCGCCTGGTACACGATCTTCTCGTTCTTGACCTCGGGGATGACGGTATGGCACACGGCCAACAGGCTCAGAAACTCGTTGACGACCTCGCGCTCCCGCCCTTCCTCGCCCCGGGGCGCGTCCACGAACGGGTTCGAGCTTCCCTCCGCGAGGCCGCGCAGCTCCGCGAAGCTCTTCCAGCCCTCCTTGCCCTCCTCCACCTCGTCCGCGTACGGCACGCCCGCGATCGAGCAGCACCGGAACTCCATCTCGTTCCGGGTCAACGTGCCGGTCTTGTCCGAGAAGACGTACTCGATCTGGCCGAGCTCCTCGACGAGGGACGAGGTCCGGCAGAGCGCGGGCGTGTCCGTCTTGGCGTAGTACATGTCGAGGTCGGAGTTGATGAGCTGCGCCTGCTGGAACTTGACCACCTCCATCGTGACGATGAGCGAGATGGGGATGAGGTTGTTGTACAGGATGATGAAGGTGAGGATGTCTGGGGCGGGTTCCATGAGCGTTTCGGTTCGATCGGCCAACTAACGCTAGAACTGCACTGACCTTCGATGAATCCCTTGGCCCGGCCGCTCAGCGAAGACTCCTCCCTCCGCGGCTCCCTCCGGAGCGAACAGCCGAATAACTCGCTATACACTTTCGAGGGCACCCTCGACCTCGTCACTCCGAATGGTAAGCCGGACGTCCCCCAATTCTCCCCTCCCCCGGAGCTAACTGCGGTCGGTCCTTCAGGCGTGCCGAAGCAGGTCCCGCTCGGCCCGGACCAGCTCCTGCTCCGCGGCGCCCAGATCCGCAACACGCCATGGGTGTACGGCCTCGTCGTCTTCACCGGCCACGAGACCAAGTTGATGCGGAACGCGACGTGAGTGAAAAATCCTGAGGGGGGGGCCGTCTGGCCGCCGCCGCCCTTTCCCCTGCGCGATGGAGCCCGTGCTGAAATCATTCTCTTTTTCTTCTTTTTTTTTCTCCGCCCCCCTCTCCTTACAGCGCGGCGCCGATCAAGCGCACGGCCGTCGAACGGCAGGTCAACGTCCAGATCATCTTCTTGTTCATCTTGCTCCTCGCTCTGTCGCTGGGATCGACCATCGGCAGTAGCATACGATCCGTACGTGCGCTCGCCTCGCGGTCGTCTGCTGATCGCTCATCCCTACGACCTTTCAGTGGTTCTTTGCGGATAAACAATGGTACCTCGTCGAAACGACGAGGTGGGGTGCGGTGAGGGAGGAGGTTTGCGGTGACGCCTGCTTGATCTTCAGATTGGTTTCTCTGCCAAGGTAAGCAAGATGAGTCAGGTCCGGACGGAAATCGCGGACAGGTAAAGGTGCTTACCCGTCTAGGTTACTGGTTTCTATATAGCACAGGCCCTCGGGCTCGGAGGAGGATATGAGCACGAGGTCGGCAGGGATAAAGTCATCCGATTCGAGGCGGACGATGTCTCCGACCTGAGCGAGTGGGTGAATGGTAAGCGGGGAGCGGTTAACGATGAAACGGAAAGGGGGGGGGGGGAGCTCGGCGAAATGGCTGGGCACGATCCAGGACTTGCCTGCACGTTTTCCCAGCTCTCGTCGGCGAACGAGGCGCCGGGCTGTAACACCTTGGTCTTGCGCGTGTTGAGTTCGGCGTCGGATTGATGGCGTTTCTGCGTGATGGAAATGTATGTTCGACGGATGTCGACTTCCCAGGACGAACAGGATCCACGCACCAAATCTTCGCCGACTTCTTTGAACGCGCTGGCGAGTAGCACGACCGAAAGGGGAGCGATTGTTGTATATCTAGATGTTTCTCCGTCAGTTTGGCGTCGGCGTTCCTTGGAAAATGGGCAAAGGCACCTGTTCGTGGGTGATACGCCTGGTATCTGTTGTATACATGCGGTGAATAAGAAGAAGAGGTTGGCGTATTTGCTGAATTGTTCTGCGGCAAGCCGTCAGCTCGTTGGGAGGGGAAAACGGGAACGGGCGAGGAGACGTGGATCATGCGTGTTAAACTAGCGCGACGCACCGGCGAAGAACTTGGGGACAAAAGTGACGACGTTGTACTTGCTCGTGCTCACGTAGTTGGAGCAGAATTCGTCCTGGCCCGGGGCGCCCGCCGACTCGCCGTTGAGCGGCACGACGCGCTCGCCCCCGAGCACCTTTTCCTTCGCCCATGGCCACTTCCACTGCCTCCTCGCCCGCTTCCTCTTCACCGTCCGCAGGCCCGACCCGGCGCCCCCGTACGGGCCTGCGGCGGCGGCGGCGGCGGTACCGCCGTCCGAATATTGAAGCGCCGACATGCCGGGTTCGTCGTCGTCGTCGAACGTCCAGGCCTTGCCCATGCCGCCGGCGCCGGGTTTGCTGTTGTTATCAAAGGTGTTCAGGGTGGACTGGGACGGCCCCGCGCCCGCGAAGGAGGCGGCGTTGCCGGAGAGCGGGAGCTTGGACAGGCCGGTGTCCGTGCTCCGCATCGCGACCGGGTTGCCGCCGAACGCGGAGTCGGGGGCGTCGAGATCGTCGTCGTCGAAGAAAGGGTCCATCTGTGGCGTGCACGGTCAGCGAGCTCGGATGCGAGGTGACGATGACGGTGGATGGTGTGTCTCGGACCTGACGACTGCTGGGCGCGGTGCCCGGGCTGCGGTCGTAGCCGCCGCCGCCGCTGGGCCCGGCGAAGGGGTCGTCGTTGGTGGGCCGGTACTGGCCGCGCGCGCGGGCGGCGGGGTTGGCGGAAGAGACCAGCTTCAAGAAATCATCCGACATCGAGCCGGCGCGCTGGAGACTGCTGAGATGAATGTCTGCGACTTCCGTGTTAACGAGACCAGCGTTGCCGTGTCCCCCGCAGCGCCAGGTCTCGGGTCACGTGCCAACCTCCTTTGGGTGTGGCGGGTAATATTCAGGAAGTATTGCATTCGTGTTTCTGTCGTGGCCATGTTCCCCACTCTGGCTCGGTTCTCGAAAGCCTCGCGGAGGCCGCTGACGCCCAAGCGCGGCAACAAAGACTACTACAAGGGTGCGTCCTCACACCAATGCCATCGCACACCCACCGACGTCGCGGTTTGAACGTTTAACGCTCGTTTCGTATAGGCACCAGGCAAGCGTACCTGCCGGGTGGACACCGCACCGGCGCGCCCGGAAAACACGTCGTGCGGGGAAAGGCCAAGTACCGTCTCCTCGACGAGAAAGTGAGGGTGTTCGTGGCGCCGCCCATCGACCAGATCGTCAACTCTGCGGTTCGTTTTTCGTTTTAATACTTTTTTTTTTCGCGTTTAAAAGGCGCTCGCTCGTCGGGCGGTGGGGAGACTGACATCCCGCCGGGGAAACCTTCAGATGAAGCCTTACGTGGCGTTGACGGTCAAGCCGAGCGCGGTGGTGGAGGAGGTGCCGCGGGTGCGGACGAGGAGCATGAACGGGGGAGAGTACTTTACTCAGGCGAAGCTGGATTTCCGGGTGCGTTCCTCTTCCGTCCTCCGTCCTCCGTCCTCCGTCCTCCGTCCTCCGTCCTCCGTCCTCCGTCCTCCGTCCTCCGTCCTCCGTCCTCCGTCCTCCGTCCTCCGTCCTCCGTCCTCCATCCTCCTCCTCCGACGACGACGACGACGACGCGGAACGCTCGCTCACATTTTCTCTCTCGTTTCTTCTCACAGCGATGGAACGAAGGCTCGCCCGAGGCGCTCGACATCCCACTGCTGCAGGGCAAGCGCGCCAAGGCCGCGGAAGCGCTGATCCGGGAGCTCGAGGTGGACGAGAGCTCGAGCGCGGCGAGGGGGGCTTCGGCCCGCGCGCATACGCCGGCGTTCACGAGGGGGAAGGACGGGGAGATCGTGTACGAACCCGCGTCGGACGGGAGCAAGGGGGTTGTGTCGCGAGCGGATAGATGAAAGCCCCGCGCGAACGATTTTTTTTCTTCCTTTCCTTCCTTCCTTCCTTCCGTGCGCTTAGGCTGGTCGAGTGAGTCTTTTTATGCGTTCGCCCCACGTCGTTGTTCGGACGGGCGTTGACGCACGCGTTCCGGCAGCTGTGCTTACTGTATTCATCTGGCGCAACCTCGACGTGCCCTTAATGATTTTTGCATCGTACGCGTTCCTTCGTCTTACTCGACGCTCTCCGTTACTCGAGTTGTTCGCCGTGCAGCTTTCACTCCGCGATTCTTGGATCATCGGTAGCCCGACTTATGCTTTTGATCTGTCCAGCCGTGAAAGTCAGCCGGGGCTGTCGGCGGGACACGACGCGGATATTTGCCTTTTTCTTTGCTGCTCGGCGCATGGTCTGCGGTAGACGAAGCGCCGGTTGCGGGCCAGCTGGGCGCATGCAACGATATATCGCATCTCATGTTGGATGTCGGATGTAGCACTCGGAGGACATCGAGCGTAGAAAACGAGGAGCGGCACCCCCCTCTCGACCTGACTTGAGTATGCGCCGATCGAGGACCGTGAGGGAGAGTTTCGGATAGACCGTTGTGCATCGACGGGGCGCCGAAAAAAAAAACACCACTTCGGATCGGGCCTGTATGTTACAGCGGAAGCTAGATTATAAAGTGCTTGGCAACGTGCTGGGTCATCATGTATCGCGTCCGTTTGTATAAATCGAGGACAGGTCCTGCAGACTCACGTTTGTCTGTTGATGGAGTATGGGATAGATATGGATTCACAGAGTGCTACGATACGGCATAGCAACGTATCGATATGGATTTCGCGTTGACGTTCATTTACCCAGCCTCACCTTCGCGATCCTAGTCGAGACCGAGCATACTTTCGTATTTAGCCTTGACGAGGAGGAGGGGAAGTGAGTGTCGCGGACGAAGCTTGAGGGAAGGAGTTAGGAAAGCCTGAGGAGGATGCACCTGCTTGGCCCTCCGCCCGCTGGGTACTCGGAAGTCTCGACCCAAGCCAGGCAGGTAGGATAGAGGCGGGAGGGGGTAAAGGCGCCAACTCGGACCGAAGGGCGCTGGTGGTCTTGCAAGACGGTGTCGTGCCCTCCCGTTCGAGGATTTGCTGCCGGTATTACAAGTTCAGCTTGTGGGGGAGATATGCCCTGGACCGGTCGAGGTGCTTGCTGGGACGGCCTCCTTGGACGCCCAACGTCTGCGGTGCTCGAGGAGAGGCGAAGGAGGACCCGGGGTGGGCGCGAACGTCGATTGACCATAGCCTGGTGTACTCGAGTCTGCGAGGAACAAGGAGCTCTTCCGAGACGATTCAAAGGTAAACGATCCAGACGACGCGCTGCGCGAGAGGAGCATCCGGAGACGAGCCGACGGTTTCCATGTACCAAGGGAATGCATCTCGGGAATCGACCATGTTGAGAAAGACAGTAGACTTGCGATAAATATGTGGGATTTGTATTCGTGCGAGCGCAAGAGCAAACGCCGCCTCGTGTTTCCGGGCTGTTATAGTTACCTCATCCTCGTTTCTTTCCCGCTGAGTCTCTCGTTCCCGTTTCTGCTTTCACTTCGTTCCTTTCCATCCTGGCGGCTATCACATCCCTGCGATCACCCTCCCGACGCGCACTGTACCCATGAGCCTAGTCACCACGGGCTCGTCGACGGCCAAGACGCCGCCGTCGCTGCTAGACGCGATCGCGCGGAGCACCGACAAGTGGCAAGAGGATCTCGAGACGTTGTTCCAGCACGCGTCTGAGCGTTTCCCGGACGTCGTCTGGGAGCTCCAGCCCGAGGGCGACGAGGGCGGGCCCGTCGAGGAGGTCTGGGGCCACAAGGGTCGGTCCACTCCCGTCCTCGACCCGAGCGCAGAACACTGACACCCCCCCCCCCCGCCCCAGCCATCGTCTACGCCCGCGCCCCGCCGTCGTTCCAGGCGAGATACTTCTCGTTCCGACCCGCTCCTATATCCTCCCCGACGCCCCAGCCGTACTCGTCGTCCCCGCCCCCGTACCCCCAGCTGTCCACCCCCTCCCTCGCCCTCTCCGTCCATCACAACCTCGGCGGCAGTCTCGCCATCGACTACCCCAGCCGATCGCCCTCCCCCGGATACGCCTCCGGACATGGCCTCAACGCCAGCGTCGGCCATCTCCCCCGCAGCCATTCGCCCGCGCCGAGTCAGCGCACGATCGCGACGACGATGACCACCGTCGGCGTGCTCACGCGCTTTCCGACGACAATGAATCCCACCCTGTTTGCTCACGAGCTCGAATACCTCTACACCGGCAAGAACTTCGGCGCCGCGTTCGAGTTCCTGTTTGATGCCGCCGATGCCAAGTCGCCGTACGTTATACTTCCCCCGACTTATCTCGGCCTGAGTCTGCTCTGACCGATCGGTGACGCAGAGATGCCGACACGGACGAACTCACCGCGGAAGAATCGCGCGTCGACAAGCTTCGAAAGGACCTCGTCTTCATGTGGCGCTCCCGCCTCTACTCCGACATCCGCATCGCCCTCACCGGCTCCTTCTCCTCCGCCAACCACGAGACCTCCACGGCGATTTTCTCCTCCCATCGCTTCATGCTCGTCTCTCGGTCTCCTTACTTTTATACGGCGCTGCTCAAATGGGGCGACGGGAAACCCGTCCCGGTCTCCACCCCTCCCAAGTCGCTCGCGAGCTCGGTCGCGAGCACCTCCGCCGAGCGCGAGCGCGAGCGGGAAAAGGAGATCCAAACCCTCACCCTCCCGTCGCCCCCGTTCACGCCCGCCTCCCTCCACTTCACCCTCGGGTACATCTACACCGGCACCCTCATCTTCTCCCACCGCACGTACGACCTCGACACCGCCTTCCACATCCTCCTCTCCGCCCTCTACCTCCAGCTCGACGCGCTGCACGACGAGATCCAGGCGCGGATCGTCCAGGAGATGATGCACGGCCTCTTCCACGCCTTCCTCGAGTTCTCCGAGTACGAACGCGTCACGGGCGGAAAATGGGGCGTGGGCGGGTGTCGCTGCCGGCAGTGCGCCCGGCGCGCGCCGAGGGTGCTCGAGTTCGCCGTCCGGGACGACGTCGGCAACAAGTACCTCGAGCGCGGCGCGCGGCGCGCCCTCGTCGGCCTGTTCGGCGACGGCTGGTGCAACGCCGAGTTCGCCGCGCTCTCCCAGGGCACGCGGGGCGGCGTGCTCAAGGGCGTGGGCAAGCGGACGCTGCCGATGAACGTGTTCCCGCTGCTGTGGGCGGCCAACTCGGGTCTGGACAAGGTCGGCAAGGTGATCGAGGACTGGGCGGACACCGTGCGCGACATGCTGGAGAAGGCGCGGAGCGTCGTGGATGAGTGTCTGTGCAAGGACGCGGTGCAGTGCTTTGAGCAACCGGAATGGGTCGAGATCGTCGACGCGGACGGGGTCAGGTTCGAGGACGCCGAGCGGGTCGCGATGGTCATGGACGCTTGCCGGAGAGGCCTCTCCGAGTCGAACGCCGGTGTTCTTTATCAGGTACGTCCTCGGCAGCCCGATTCTGGAACGCGCGGCGCTGACCGTCCGTCACCAAGGCGCTCGTGTCGTCCATCTTGCTCCGCGTGAACGATCAAGGCGAGACCGTGGTCAGCGCGACGTCTCACGTACGCGTACAGGTGGAGCAGCTGCGGACCGACGTCCTTCGCTGGTTACGCAAACGCTGGTTCGGCGTCAGGGACCAGGGCGGCTTCGATTCCCTCGAGAGCTGGGCGGTCAAGGAGATCAGCGACGAGATCGACGTGCCCGTGGAGGAGCTCCTCAACCCCGATCACCAGATCAAGGGGCCTGCGAGGACGACACGACCGCAAACGCGCGGCGACTTTGATGGCGAAAGCATGCGCTCCATCCCCAGGAGCGTGGCGTCCAGGAACATCGCGAGCCCAACCCCCGGGCGCAATGGCGCGCTCAGTCCCACCGGCGGTCGCACGGCACCATCGGTGCACTCGATCGCGCGGAGCACGATGTCGACCAAGAGCAGAGCGATCACGAGCACGGCGCCAGCTAGGCGTAACGTTAGCGGAGGGCGGACAAGCATCGCACCTCCTCCCGGCCCGAGACCAGATTCCAAACTGACTCCGGCGGCGTCGAGCAGCTCGTTGGCGAGCAGGGACTCGAAAGTCACATCCCCGTCCACGGCGCGCAAGGCCTCCTCCCGGACCCCGACGGCGGCGTCCGTCCGGAGCAGCGCGGCGTCGTTCACGTCCGTCGTTTCGACCGCTTCGACGGTGCGCACCTCCAGAGCGGGCCCGTCGACGCTCAAACCGCCTCCCTCCGACTCGTCGCGACCGAACTCGACCATGTCGACCGCCAGCGCGGGCAGCACCGAGTTCAAGACGGCGTCCGAGATCACGACCTCGCTCGGGACGCAGTCCGCCGTCGTCCCGACCTCGCCGCTCCTGAGTCCCAGAAATAGGAGGATCTCGACCGCGAGCACGGCCAGCGCCGCGAGCGCAAGGTCTCCTGGGCTCGCTCCGCCCAGGAATACGACGAGGAGGACGAGCACCGCCTCGACCGCATCCGCCGCGTCGGTTCGTTCGACGCGCGTGGGCGCAGCTCCAGAGACGCCGAAGTTGAAGTCACCGTCACAGGCGTCTATACGCTCGAATGTATCGACTACCTCCACCGCAGCGCGGAGCACACAATCCAGGCGAACCGTAGATAGGAAAAGCACGGTTGCCGAGACTCCTGCTAAAATCACCGGGAAAGCGCGTGCGACCACGGGCGCTGGCGGGACCATCAAGCCGACGAAGTCGACATCAACGCTGCCGCCCACGCCGCCGGAGACGGCGTCCTCTGCCAGCACGCCCTCGCTCGGCGACGGTTCGCTGAAACGCAAGGCTTCGAACGATACCATCAAAGAGTCCTCCGTCGTGACTCAGCGCGCGGTAAGCGCCCTTTCTCCGCCGGGAGACACCCTCGATGTCGGCATTCCTTGCATCATCGCCTCTAAACGCGCCCGCTTCCGCGCATACGCGCGGTACATCGGAGAAGTGAAGGGCGAGACGGGGCCTTGGGTCGGCGTCGAGGTGCCGGTGAACGACAGCTGGCCGACAGACAAACTGGAAGGCCGCCAGTGGCACGACGGGACGTGGGGCGGTATCCGCTATTTCGACCTGGGCACGGAATCGCAGTGGGATGGCTACGGAGACCAGACGACCGCCAGCCGGCGGAGGGCGGTCGATTGGAAGCAGACGGTGATGAACAGAAGTTTGAAGCGGGGAGGAGCCGAGTTGAGCGTCGACCGCAGCAAGCGCATGCGGAGCGTGTCTCCTGCCATATCGGACGTCTCGAATCAAGAATCAAGAGGACTCTTTGTCAGGCCCCAGCAGGTCCTTTACGTGGTGGACGCTGTGGGCACGGATCTGTGATACCCAATACCAATAGTGCCGAAACATTCCCTTGAAACCGTCTTGCTCTCCACCTATGCATCGCTTTCGATGTTACGCATACGCTCGTAACTTAAACCTCCTTTCCTTAATCTCTCTAGTGGCTTGTACGTCTATGTCTTCGGTTCGGGACATGATTATCACCGTTTTACTGTAGTCGTTCGCGGGACAAGTAGATTAAACACCTGCCGCCATCCACAAATATTAAATCATACAGGATATTGCCCGTTTAACCTTGGAACGCCGCGTGGCTAATCTCTAAACCAAAATCGCGTTTGGCGATGCCACGCATAGTCCGCTCGAGTTCATCCTCGAAACCCTCGCTGGCGAAGCCTAGTTTCTGCCTCCACCACTGCCGAAATCGGCTCGCTTGAAACGCCACGTCGAGGGAGAACATGACCGTACGGAAGATAAGGTATCGCCAATACTCATGGAGTCTCTCAGTAAACCGCAGGCCGGGTGAGGTGGTGAGCGCGCGAGACGCGGAAAGTCCGGTGATTTTGATGCGGTTCACCGGAGAGCCGAAAGTCTGGTTATTGCCTGCAAAGAACGGGTTGAGGTGAACGGAGGCATCGGCAGACATGCAGCGGTAACGTACCCTGCACGATTCGCATGTTCCGCATGACGAAGATCAATTCCCGAGGAACCTTATCCGTGTCCTGAAGAAACTCTTTCATCTTTGCTTTCATCCTTACACCTCGCTCGTACGGGTTGAGGCCGTCGTCCAGAATACCCGTGCCGACCGACGGCGTGGTGTTGTTAGGATCTTTGAATCGCATAGGCCGCAACAACGTAGTAGTGGCGAATACGTCGGGAGCCCCAAAGCCCCAGTCGTCCGCTATCTCCTTGATGGCACCGAAATCGCCCGTAAGGAGACTCTTCCACAGGTGCGCGTACTGGCGACGGAAGCCAGGGGGCAGGAACTCGTACAGGCCGTGGTCGAGGAGAACCAGCTGCGGTTCGCGGGTCCACGTGGAAGGATTGGACGAGGAGGGGCGTGGCCGGATGATAATGTTGCCCGGATGAGGATCGCAATGGACGATCCCCCATTCGAATATTTGTGCAGAGAAGAGCTCTACCATAGTCTTCATAATGGACTCTGTCCCACCTTGAAGGGGGAGGATGTTTGAGCGCGCCCAGGATCCGTATGCTGCAGACGTGAAAGAAGGTAGCGTGTCGGCAGCGTCAGAGGGTGCGGGAGGCACGTCCTCGCCCATCAAGCGCTTGATCTCGCGCTTGCTACTGAGCCGGATCCCGTCGATCCATTCGGCAGTCATCACCCTGTGGGTTGAATATTCGGGGTACACCTTCGGAACGTAGACGCGCCCGGATATACGCGGGTCGGAGTCGATAGCGGCGGACATCAGCCGAGCGTTGTTGACTTCTTTGTTGAAGTCCAATTCCTGGCGGAATTGTCGGCAGGTGTAGTCTGGCAAAGGGTTGAGAAAAGTACATGTTGAGGACAGGATCGGCATAACATACCTACGAATGCAGTAACTGGGAGATCGAAGGCCCATTCATACAAATAGATAACAAGCTTGTAGGCCATGAGGTCCCATTCGACCTGCGTATTGACCTCCGGCTTTTGTATCTTCACCGCCACCCAAGCGCCATTACCTTCCTGAACGTGCATCGTCAACGTGCCGCCGCGGCAGGGAGACAGGAAATACGCACGGGATGTTTGAGCTTTGCGCGATGAACCTGCGCAATAGAAGCGCTGGCAGCCGCGGTCTCTTCGAAATACTCAAATACGCCATCGGGACCCGCTGGCGGTTTGCCAAATTCCCTGCAGAAAGGAGTGTCAGCGCTTCGAACACACATATGATCAAGTCTTCAAGAATGTTACAGGGTGACGAAGATGTCAAAAACCAGAGACAAGAAGTGCAAGAGCAAGTGAAGGACGGGCAAATGAGATGAGACTACGAGCGTACCGATAGAACACCTTCTCCACCTGAGAGTAAGGTACTTGAGGAGCGTCATCAAAAAGCTTGGAAAATCTCTCCTGCATAGCGGGAGGAAGCAACGCGGCATTGTTTCCTATCGCCTGACCTATGAATAGAGTATCGTGAGCTCGCACTTCACGGCCGTATATGTGAGCGAACGAAAGCATCCATACCTATTTTGATGTACATTCCACCATTGGCCATAATGAGGTTATATATCCGGTCAGCTACGCGTTCGTGCAAGTTCGGGATGGTAGCAGCTTTCTCCGGCTTGAAGTTCATCTTGTAGTCGACTGTGATGACCAGACACTAAGCGTCGCGAGAGCTTCAGTTCCTTATTTTGAAAAGTGTTCAGAGTACGAGCGCACCGTGCATAATGTTCGTATATTTCTCGCCCCGGAAGATGCTAAGAACTCTGTATCGGCGAGCCATAGAACGCCAAGCCCGGCGGCAGCGTAAGTACAGCGGCGGGCGAGGAGGGAGAGCCTGGAGGATGTCGACGGGGATTTCGAGGCGTAGAATCTCAAGAACGGTCGTCCTGCGTGAGCCGCAGAGAGTCGGTGGAGCATTCCAAGCCGGCGAACAACATCGTTCTTGATTGACCTTGACTGACGCGCACGGGCAATTTGCTGACAAATCATTTGCTCGATGCGCGTCGTCCCGGCTTGCAGGCCGGGATTGATGACGCCGTCTTCGAGTATGTACTTACTTACCGGACACTTGCGCTTGAAATTACACTGCTAAATGTTAGTCTCACATTCCACTCTGCGGAGTGCATGCAAGCTTGGGCGGATGCGAATAGCCTCGAAGTATGCTAGCTAGAGGCGACGTAAGATATACCGAGCTCATGTGTGAGCAGCTCACTCGTTGGGCATTTTGAGCTAGAAATTGGCACTAAATACTACGGCCTCGAAAAGTTGTCAACGCTATGCAAGTCGCTCTGTTAAGCAGAGACACCGGATGGCACTCGCCCTTTGTTACCCTCCTTTCGAACATACCGGAAACGCAAGCAACCTGCAACATCGCATGTACGCCGCACTCGGATGCAGCGTTAAAGCTTCCTCTGTGCCATATGTGCACCGAGATGAGCTGGCCCACGGCAGGTTTTACCCTCTAATGCCCTCCCTTCTAGATCGTCAAGCGAACATTGTTCAAAGATCGCTGCGGTATGTCCTTCCAGTCCAGGTTGTATTACTACCAATTCCCGATGATGGACCTAAGTAGATTTTCCGGCGTGGACATAACCATGATCGTTGGAGGACAGAAGAAGTGCCCAAACCACGAATGCCTCCCCGACAGTCGCAGATGAGTGCGAAGCAATGAGCCAAGAGTCCATCGTCCGCTTTGCTTGCCACGCAAAGTAGGACCGTAGTGATCCTCTGAGCAGCGGTTTTGCGCTCTGAGCAGCGGGTTTGCGATGAAACGATAGCTGACATAGCAAGAAGTAGGATGCCTCGGGAATTCTTCACATTCCTCAGTGCATGCGAATCGGCCGCGGGAGACGAAGGTCTGCCGGACGAAATTGTGCATCTAACCGGGTCGATGTTGTTTGCGGGACTCAAGTCTGGTGGGAACCATGTGGTAAGCCACGCTTCTAGTGCCCAAAAGTAACTTAACTGACTCGGGTTCGAGGGAAATGTACGACTTGGAGGGGCCAGCGAGGCGAAGGAGGTACATGAAGCACTGTTGAAGGGCGAATATGAGGACCCAGGGATGATTCCTCGAGCGCTCGATTCAGCTATTCGGAAGCTACGCGAAAGGGCTACCTCCGGGGCGTTGGGCCACCTTATTTGTGTATGGGTATTTGAAGGAGCGGAGGTAGTGTTCGACGAATGATTGACGTCGCTCTGGGCCCAGCTCGGTGGTAGTTTATATAGACGGCTACACCCAGGAATCAACGAGATGTCTTCAAGATACATGACTTGTGAACGTCGATTCAGATGTACTTACTTAGGTCGTGAACTCAGGATCGCCTACATTTGGAGTATTTCTGCAATGCGGAAAGCTTGCGATGGTTCACTGAAGGCACCAAGACCGCTCCGGTACCCAGGGCTGCAGCTGAGCAAGCAATAGCATAGTAACTTCGTGCCCCGCATTTCATCTCGCCTCCCCCCCCTTCCTACTAAGTATCAGAGACAGTCGTCGGTCGAACGGTCACCGGTCATGTTTTTCCATGGGTTGCTCTGAGCGGCCGGAGCTCCGAATGGTTGATGAAAGGGCAGCGTCCGGACATCATGATGAATTCCGGCCACGAAGTCATAGTCATAGGTAATAAAGAGGATTTGCAAGCAACAACGGGTATGAGCCCAACCCCGAATGCCCATTAGTAGTATACGATCGCGAAAGAGTCAATCGGAGCCTTGAGTTCCATAAATGGTGGGCACAGCCACAGCAGCTCAGTCAGCGCCGTTGCTTTCTAATCCTCCGCGCTCACTCAAAAGGCTCGCAGGCGGCGCCCTCGCTCGCGGCATTCCCCTCCAAACCCGTTTTTGTGAGTCTGTCAGATCATTGCCGTCGTATTTCTTGAAGAGTCGCACGTTGGCACGCAAACCCGGGATGGATGGGTTCGGTTCGAGTTGGATGACGTTGCTAGGCAGGGGACTGAGAGCGGGGGTTTGATGGGACGATACGGGCTGGAAGGACGGTCGCGATGGATGGCTATGGATCCCCCGGGGCGTCCGCGAGAGCATTGGTCGTACGAGCGCTGACGTCGTATTTTCAGATTAACCCTCTTCAACAGTTGTAACGATGGGTCGCCGTCCTGCTCGCTGCTACCGCTACTGCAAGAACAAGCCCTACCCTAAGTCGCGCTACAACCGTGGTGTCCCCGACCCGAAGGTATGCCAAGTTGCATCTGGCTCCAGGCTCTGGTTTCTGAGATGCTTCGTGTTCGATTAGATTCGTATCTTCGATCTCGGCCGTAAGCGCGCCTCCGTTGACGATTTCCCGTACTGCGTCCACCTCGTCTCCGACGAGTATGAGCAACTTTCCTCCGAGGCGCTCGAAGCCGCCCGCATCTGCGCGAACAAATACGTCACCAAGACCTCCGGCAAGGACTCGTTCCATCTGCGTGTCCGTGTCCACCCCTTCCATGTCCTGCGTATCAACAAGATGTTGAGCTGCGCCGGTGCTGATCGGTGGGATTTGCTTGTTTTCGAGAATGTTCAAGTTGTTGACGTAGTCATTGGACAGTCTGCAAACCGGTATGCGTGGTGCCTGGGGCAAGCCTTACGGCACTGTTGCTCGTGTCAACATCGGCCAGATCATCCTTTCCATCCGCACCAAGGATACCAACGCCGCGGTTGTTCATGAGGCCCTCCGCCGCGCTCGCTACAAGTTCCCTGGTCGCCAGAAGATCATCGTCTCCAAGAAGTGGGGCTTCACCAACGTCAACCGGGAGGAATACCTCCGCCTCAAGAGTGAGAAGCGCGTGCTCCAGGACGGTGCCTACGTCCAGTACATCCGCCCCAAGGGCAAGCTCGAGGACAACCTCCGCGCTCAACTGCGTGCTTGAGCGTTTGTTCCTTGGATTTGTTAGGTGGGGTGTACGGTAGATGGTACGTCGTACCCCTCGCGATTGTGCCGCATATTGAATTATCGTTCAGGTGTACTATGCGTTTGCGCTGTCATGTCACTTCGGTGTAACTAGCTTATGCTATATCATGCGATAACGATATGCTCGACGGCGCGCTATACTTCCAGCAGCTTGGGTGGCCGTGTAAGTGATATGCATGCCCTTTATTCACTGCGGCGTCCTGTTCGGTGGGCGCTGGTTAGGGGAAAGAGGGCAGAGATTAATCAGTCCTTATCTGTCCCGCTCGTCCTTCTTTAGTCGGAGGGGCGACGGTGCGCTCATGCGTGTCTGTCCTTGATCTATGGGGCACCCGCGTAGAGATTGAGGCCTTACAGATTTGCACTGTAATGTGTATTGTTCCGTATTTGTCTACCCGGAGACAACTTGATGTTATGTTTCACTGCATGGCGTGATGTGTGACGTTTTAGGCCTTGCATAACATTGCGTTGAGTAAGAGCGATGTATCGATAACTTTGCGCGGCGCGCGTTACAAACACTGTTGACCTGCCGCTTTGCAATGCTCGTGGCCAGCTGAACCGATGGCCTACCGTCATTATGAAGACCTGTGGTTTGAAGATAGAAACGTCATACTGGAAGCTGGAGGAGTCGTTTTCCGTCTGTATCGCGGCATCTTGGCCCGCAACTCGCCCATATGGGCCGATCTGTTCGCCGTACCGCAACCGCTCGCAGATGCAGAGTCATACGACGAATGTCCCATTGTACATTTGCACGACGACGTGGATGATCTAAGATACTTTCTGCACGCCATCAACGATGTGAGGTGCATATGCTCGCCTTCTTACGCCATCAACTGCTATTCCGACTGACGTCACGGATTTCTTGCTATCACAGTTTCTACCGCAGTGACATCGCTACACCATATCCAGTCGTCGCGGGCATACTGCGGCTTGCCTCCAAATACGCCGTCTCGTTCCTGCGCGAGCGATGCATAGCCCACCTGTCCTTGTCGTATCCGAGTTCGCTATCGGACTGGAAAGTTCGCGAGAGGCAACAGGATCGAGCGGTGACCGACATACCCGCGCACGCCATCGTCAATCTTGCGAGGGAGGTCAACGCGCTATCGCTCCTTCCTACCGCTTTATACTGCTACTGCGCTGCCACTTCCCTCGAAGACATCGTGAACGGTCAGATGCTCGCGGATGGTACCGTTGCGACCGTCAACGACAGGGACCGACGATCCTGCATCCTCGGAAGGGTGAATTTGGGCCATAGGCAGCGGCTGCAGATGCTTGGCGCACTCTCAACCTGTCCAGACGGTTGGCCGGGGTGCTCGACCCCGTCACATTGCCAGCCAGGCCAGTGGAGAATGCTTGCCCGGCTGTGGAGCCTGCCGGAGGAGGAGGGTTTAAGCTGCCGGGTGCTTATCGACATCGGCTCCGTCAAAGAGGCCAAATCGGCCACGGGGTGGTGCGACAAGTGCTGTCGATACTGGATCTCGCGCATGCTGGACGCCCAGACGAGAATTTGGGCCGACCTTCCGTCCATATTCGACCTTCCTCCCTGGGATGTGCTGCTCGCCAGCCAGGAATGAACGAACATCCACTCGCCTCCCCTCGCCTCCCTCGTTTATTCGCATCTTTCGTTCACCGCCTTTGCGGTTCATATTTCCATGCTATCGTCACCCCGTTCGCGTTTTTCGACCCTGAAGCTCCTGCGTTGTGTGCGTCGTTCCAACTCTGCTATCGTCGTGCGGTCTGCTCGCATTCTGCACGCCTTTGATAGCCCGGGAGGGGCTGGTCGGACGGGGTATGCGACGGTTGTTCGTGACTCCCCGATCCATATTTCTTCTCCGGCAGGCCATTCTGGGCCGGTATTCATTTGTTTGTCTTTTAAACGCTTTCAATGCGATGGACAGGAAAACGGAAACGTGCGAGCCCGATCTCTTTCTCCACAATGCATGTTCCGCGCGCTGGTACAGGGCGAACACAGACAGTATGCGCGTAATAGAACAAGGTAAATTCCATGAACACCCATACAGTATGCTATTGCTCCTGAAAGAGAGCGGTCCAACGGCCATAACTGGCGGCCTCCCCCCGGACCCGGGGGGAAAAAAAAGCAATACTATCGGAGAATTGAGTCGTGATTTTTGTCTATCCGTTTTTACGATGAAGCCGGACACGTCGTGCGACGACATTCATCCGGTCCGCGCCATAAGGAGAATGCAGTCGCGTGTTTGCGTGGCGCAAGTAGGCGGTCCTCGCGGAAAATCCAATATCTGATGCAACAGCCTGGATGGAGGAGCACATGCGGAAGGGGAAAAGATTAACGCCCACTCGCCTGCGAGGTGTTAAGTTCAAGTTGTCGTCGTTTTTCCGAGTCTTTCTTTCAAGTTTCTTTCGGGGGTGACCCCCATGAGGCCATCTGGGTTCTCTCTTTCATGCCGGCATATCACAGATCTGCGTGTCAGGGTTGCACCTTTCTGTTTCCAGATCGAGCTGTCTCCGGGCGAACGACGATACGTGAGGTCGACCTGATACTTACGGGTTTTCCCTACTGCGGGAACGCCGAGATACACACACACACAAAACAATGTGGTCCTTCCGACCATCTGATGCCAACGGTCGCACACTACCTGTGTAAAGGGCTGAAGATTGACGATAGAGAAGACGGTCGGGGGTGCAACAACGCGACCCTTCCTTGTGTGGAAGTGCACGTAGCAGAACCGTTCCGAGATCGGATGATTGAAGAGAATCGATGCGAGAGCTTCTCAGGACGGGCTATGTTCGAATGCACGCGTTGCAGGCACAGGAAGAAAAAATAAAAATAACATGAGGTGGGCGAAGATGGACGGGACCGCAGATATGGATGCAGATGATATGCTCGAGAAATCGATGGATACGGTCTCGGTGGGTGCGACACGTACGACCAAGCGAAGCATAAAGTACGTGTGCGCTGGGAACCAATTGCGTTTCCTTTCAGTGAAAAAAAAAGCGTCCGCTGGACAGAGTTGGAACGAAGGACCGGGCAGTGGCGACTTCTCCGTCGTAAGCTGTTTCCGAGTTTGTATGTGATGTGTGGTCGGAAATTCGTCAGGATTTTCTGTCCGTCCAGGGACGGCCGTCGCGTTGCGATACGCAAAACCCGGGTTTCCCTAGAACGTCACAAGGGTTGGCGAGGCCAAGTATGAGATAAGGACAGGGTGGGGCCTGTATTGCATTGAACTTTGCTCCCGGGCGGTGGCGAGGAGACGGCACGTGTATGAGAACCGGGGGGTGTTGGGGCATGCCGTAAGTGCAGATCCGGCACGAGGGGCGAGCGGTGAAAAGGCCCCGGGGGAGATGAGAGAGATTATTTCCGGAGGTGGTGCGGTTTGGAGACCGAGAGGCAGGAGAGAGGGTTTCGGTGCTGTGACGTTGCAAGCGTGTCCTTGCTGCACTTGAGATAGGGAAACAAGGATACCGAGGATAGAGTGGTCTTGTTAATGTGCAAACCTGGGGCGGAACGACGGCTTCTGGCCGGATTAGGGCATCATGCAAGACAGGCCGACCTGTGGCGTGGACGACGGTTGGCCACAGTCGATCGCAGACATGGACGGATCAGTTTGCTGCGTGGTGACAGATGGATCTCCGGCGGAGGACGGCGAGGCGATAACGATAGTAGGCACTCGATTAGCTTTCGGCACGAGCGGAGGCAAGGTGGCGGGTATGAGTCTATGAGATCCAGGAGGTGAAGATATTGCGTGCATATACGCGCTGACCTAGGGTCCTGGACAAAACAAGGACGAGCCGCAACACGCTTGACGGAGCAACGGTGTGTGTGTGTGTGCGCGTCTGGAAGCAGACGAAATGTTGCTGGAAGCAATTTATCAGCGTTCTGTCTCGTAACGGACACGACATCCACGGCGCCTGCTGAAGGTTGCCCGACGAGACACCAATGCGGTCTAGACCGGGCAACGGGAGGTATCCTTGGCGGCGAGGAGCGCGCGTTTGGGCCGGGAAGCAGCGCGCATATGGCGATTCCTACCCGAAACGGCAAGGGGGCTGCGATCGGGGCGGATGGCCGGGTGCAGTTGACAGCAGGCGGCGTTGCCCAAAGAGGCGACCGTGGCGCCTTCTTCGCGCACGCCCTTCTGTCAGCCAGGCGGACGAGGGGTAACCGGTGGGGCGTTATGGCCTCCCCTCGCGCGTTCGCCCTCCTCGCATGAAGTTCGGCCTCTGACCCCCCCCCCCCCGCCATGACCGCGAGCACCATGCCCTTCGACCGATACTTCCAGGACGACCCCGCGTCCTCCCAGGCGCCCCACCAACACCGCCCACTCGCCGAGCACCCCGCGCCCGCTGGCCTCCAGTTCCAGCTCCCCAACTTTGTCCTCGGCGGCCCCCCGACCCTCGCTCATGGCGGAGGCGCAGAGGTCCTCCCCGCAGGCCTCCTCGCCGCCGGCTTTGGCTCGTCCAGCTCGCTGAGCCAGGCCTGGTTCACCAACAACTTTTCCTCGGAGTGAGTATTTGCGCGCCCCGTCCTGGACGGCAAAGATCGCGTCGCTGACGGCCCGCTGCCAGCTTTGGGGAGACGGTCTATCGCAGCCCGGGATCGAGCGAGAGCCAGGATGTCGTCGACTCCTACCTCGACTCGTCTGCCGCCTACGCCGCGTCCCCCGCGCCCCCCAGCAGCCTCCATTGGCCCGCCGCGTCCGCCCCGCCGCAGGCACAGCAGTCGCATTTCCCGCTCCTCAACCACCCGTCCACGTTCGGGCTCCCCATCTACTCCTCCTCCGGCTTCGACCTCCTTTCCCTCCTCGCCCGCGTCGTCCACCGGCCCAACCCGTCCATCACGCTCGGCCCCGTCGACCTCACCTGCGCCTTCACCGTCGTCGACACCCGTCGCTTCGATCAGCCCATCATATATGCCTCGCCCACCTTCCTCCAGCTCACCGGCTACCCCGAAGCCGACGTCCTCGGCAGGAACTGCCGCTTTCTCCAGGCCCCGGGAGGCAACGTCCAGCGCGCCGACGAGCGCAAGTGGACGAGCCCCGAGAGCGTGCGCACGATGCACAAGGCCCTCGCCGCCGGCAAAGAGTGCCAGGTGTCGCTCATCAATTACAAAAGGGGCGGCCACGCGTTCGTCAACCTCGTCTCCCTTATCCCCGTCCCGCCGGCGCCCGGCGAAGAGGCCGCCTTTGTCGTCGGTTTCCAGGTCGATCTCACCCAGCAGCCGAACGCCATTTTGCAGCGACTGAAGGACGGCAGCTACGTCGTCAATTACGCTTCGACCGCCCAAGGGCCGAACGTCGGCAGCGGCAGGAGCAAGGCTCACACCGTGTCTAGGAGCGCCGTAGCGAACGACTTGCGGCAGTTGTTGAGCAGCGAGGCATTCTTGCGTTCGTTGTCTCATTCAGAGGACAAGACGGCCGTCGAACAGAACGATGCGATCGGTATCGGTGCGTATATGCGCATTGGTGACAGCTTCCCGCGAAATATTCATTTTTTTTTCTTTCAGACGCTCTGCCCTCCGTCGTCCTGAACTCCTCGCCCGACTTTATCCACGTCCTCTCCCTCAAGGGCGCCTTTCTCTACTGCGCCCCCACCGTCTCCCGAGTATTGGGCTGGGACGCCGCCGAACTGACAGGTACGTATTGTTTTGAGATTGCATGGTATTTCATATGCTATCCGGTCTAACCCCGTTATAGGCAAATCTATAACGGATTATTGCCTCCAGGCGGATATTGTCCCCCTGATGCGCGAGCTTAAAGAGTCTTCTGGGCCTAACCCATCCTTGACCACTGCCGCCGCGGCCAAAGACGATGGAGAGGGCAAGTCTGTCGCCGTTCCCGTGAGTTGGGCCGGGACGGACGAGATACGCGGTTCCCGTGCGCTGACGTTCGTCTCGCGTCTCCGTAGCAGGTAGCATCGGCCCCGCCCAAGCCGGTCGACCTGCTCTTCCGCGCGAGGCACAAGGACGGGCACTACGTTTGGATCGAATGTCGCGGCCGGCTGCACGTCGAACCCGGAAAAGGCCGCAAAGCCATCATCCTGTCCGGCCGCCGGCGCAACATGCCCTCCGTCGACTGGCGGCGCGTCACGCAGGCGGCGGGCGTCCGACCGCCCGCGTCTTCCTCGGCGGACAAGGCGGAGCTTGCCGACGGCGAGTTTTGGGGTATGCTCGGCCCGGGCGGGACGATGCTCGTCGCGAGCGCGGGCGTGAAGCACATGACGGGCTACGGCGTCGGCGAGGTGATCGGGCGGTCCCTCGTCGAGCTCGTCGACGACGACGACGACGGCGAGTCCGCGCGCGTGATCAGGAACGCGGTCAAGGAGACGGAGAGCCGGGCGGGCGAGGCGATCAGGAGGATGCGGTGCAGGATGCGCGGCAGAGAGGTGGACGTGGCGCTCTTCCACTCGGACGAGTGGGATTCGTCGTTCGCGCGCGCGCGGCGGGACGTGCCTCAGCCGAGCGCCGCGGCGCCCGTCGTGGTCCAGGTGCGCGTCGCGGCGTTCGCGCCGGCGTCGTCCATGGCGCCGCCTTCGTCCAGCGTCCACCCGCCGTCGGCCAACCTGTTCGAGGAGCTCGACACGTCGCGCGACTCGAGCTGGCACTTTGAGCTGCAGCAGCTGCGCTTCCGCAACCTGCGCCTGCAGGAGGAGGTCGAGGCGCTCGAGGCGTCGCTCGCCGCGGCCGAGCGGGCGGCGAGAGGCGGCGGTGGTGCGTCGCGGAGGAGTTCGGCGGCTGGCTTGACGTTGGGAGAGAACCCGGCTGCCCGGAACGCGAGGAGCGTGTCGACGAGCGCTCCGAGTTCGCTGGGCGGATGGAGGTTGAGCAATGATGTCGTCGGGCCGGTCGGCAAAGTGGGCGCGAAGCGGTCTTGGGACGCGGTGGACGGCGGAGGCGGTGGTTGATAAACAGGCTAGGCTGCTCCTCCGTGGCTGCCATGCAAGTATATACACTGACTGGCTGGTTGCCGTCGTCTCGTTCGTTCGCTTCTCAACATTGGTTTTTCTTTTCTCTCTCCCGTGGTCGTACACGCCGTCGTCACGTTTACATGTACAGTATGAGCATGGTTGCATAAAGTAGGCTATGTACTAGGTTTATTCTCTCATACCCTCCTGCGTCTTCTTCTTGCCGGACCGCATCTCGAGATGTCGTACTATCTCCTTAGTCTATAGGATGATATGAACGAGATAATGTATCGGAGAGTCCATTGATGGGATGGTATGGTGCAATGTTGTACATGTTACCCGAAGATAAAACGGAGCGTTTGCACCGCTAACGCCACCGCCCGGATGACTGTTGGATTTCTCGTATGGCTCACCCAGCAGTGGAATCTCAAGGCAGGGGCTCGCGGCTGCTGGACAAACGGTTCAGATGTATATAGACGTCCGTGCCGTATCCCTCCATGGATATCAAGCGAAGGTCGCCTCCGAAGTACCGCGCATACTGATAACGTGTCGTCAGCAGCGCGACTTCCTGGTCGACCGGTTCCACGTACCAGTCTCGAGAGCGGTAGGCCATAGCCAAAACCGGCCATCGGGGCCTTGAAGTCGCTCGCTTGAAAGTCCTGGTCGATAGCTTGGCCCTCCATGGTCGTGTACATGTACGTCCATATCAACGGGATCGCCGATCGCGGAATACCGCCCCCTTCGTCCGAGATCTTGATCGTGATGTCTTCCTTGCCTTCCACGACGATAACGCGGATCTTTGGGTATTCGCGTTTCTGGGAGCCTGGAATTTTGATAAGCATGGATGCGGTTAGAAAACATACTGCCTGCGAACCTCCATTGTCCTGGTAGTCTGGGCCATACCGCTCTACGACCGCTCGTAACGAGTTTTTGAGGAGTTCGAACACGATATGCGAGAGATGGCCAGGAACGTAGGCAAACTGCAGGTCCGGTGGGCAAATCAACTCCACGGGAGGGCCTCGGAACATAGCGTAATGCTGTTCTAGTTTGAGATACTGTGATATACGATGAATCGTATTGCACGCAACGTACCTCTTCGCATACGAATCTTGCGTTCTCGATAGACTCCTGGATGATATCGTGCACGTTGGATTCCGTGCAGATGATCCCGACCCACCCGGGGTGTTTCTCATGTTTGTTGAGAGCGATATCTGAAGAACATGAGATTGGCTGTTCGGAGAAGAACGGCGGGAACGTACGCTGGCCGATCAGAAAACGGATCCCTATACGAGACATGTAGAACCGATCGAGCCACGCTTGGATATCAAGACCAATGTGCCTTGCGTTGGTAGATCGTTTCCACTCCAGCACACCCTAGTATCGCTCGTCAGTGGGGAGGAAGACGTGTTGAATCGGGTTTACATACCTGGGCCACCGTAGTGACCGTCGGATCATGCCGGCTCTTTATCCTCTCCAACATTTTCGTGAACCGGGCATTGTAGTCGTGCACCTCCGGCGGCCAGTCGATGAGCCTTGGGTTCGCATAGTACCTTCCTTTGTTGAGTGTGACACGATAGAGTAAGCAAACAACTCATGGCGTACCTTCGCTCCATGGGTACACGTAACTTGAACTTGTTACCAATGCCGGTTCCCTGAGCGGCCGGAGACTACGATGGTACGAGATCGCATACGTCGACGTATAGTTCGTCACCAACAAAGTGATCACTCACTGAGTAACCAACAAACGAGTCGCCTATCGGTCCAGCCCCGATTCCCGTATATCCATCTCCGAGTCCTAGATAGATCCTCAGCGTTGTGTTAGATGCTGGACGCGTGTAGCGCACCAATTAGGCTGGGATTAGGTATACTTTCTGGCATGGCATCGCCCTCTTCTCGCGCAGCCTTTTCCGCCTTAGCCAGCTCCTTCCGCAGATCCGAGGGAAGCCGTGGAGGGGGAAACCTGATGAGTTCCTGGGCGCATAACGTCATTGGGCGATCCTGAGCGAGCATGGCAGAGGCGCCGACCGTACCTCAAAGCTATGCGCATACCAGTTCTTCACTTTCTCGATGCTAGGCATCTTGGACAAGTTGTGAGGAAGAGTATCGAGTTCCTTAACACGATGTGCGAGTCGGATTGGGAGTTCTTCTGCATCGGCGTTCAGGGCATATCAGAGACGAGCTAACAGGATGTGATGCGCCACTCACCACCGAGGAACTGACTGGCGGCCAACAGCGTTCCCTGTGATGGATTCTGTCCAAACAATACCATCTGCTGCAGTGAGACTGAACATCGACATGAGCTCACTGTACGAATAAACCGTAAGCAGACGAGACTCGCCTCCAGTTTGTGGGAAAGATGCGAAATGGTGGATGCTAGTGAGGATTGAGTTAGACACTATGGACGAAAACACAGATCGTATCCGCAAGGGAACGAAACATGAAAACGTTGCACTCACCGGTCCCATAACGCGGGAGTTATCCTGAAGCCTGCAGACATAGTGAAGTGCGGTCGCCAGCAGCGAGTGATAGAGAGCCTTGCAACCGATATGACCTCAAGAAATGTCCCGTCAGGACCCAATCAGGTCGGAATGCGGAGAGGGGTGGGGGAGGAATTGTTGCACGTGAAATAGAAAGGGGCGCCAAGCGCCGGGTTCCGACTACTATTGGGTACGGGCAACGCCCGCGATTGACGCGTAACCCAGGATGAAAGTCAAGGCAAGACTCTCACGCCACCCCCACCAAGGAATTCCGTTCACCGGGTCCTACAGAACACTGCACGAACTGCGTCACTTCAAAGAATGGTTAGAGAGCAAAGTTGATGTACTTTGAGATTCACACACATTGTGGTGGCTGAATTTGTTGTACGATCATTACTCAGTGTTGTGGCCGCATCCATGATGTCTTTGTGGTTCTCACAGGCAAGTCAAACAAATTTCCAACACCACACAGTACTCTCAGAAGCATGTAAGATTCTTGCAAGGGTACCCGAGGGTGTATTACCTGACCCACATCAACTTTTTCCGGTGTAGGCTCTCAGTGTACCACCCACAATGGCCCTAACCCTATCATGCCTTTTTCAGGCAGTCATGTGGCTGTGAAGGAGTTGTCCGCGAATCTGCAAGCTATCGCGCATGCAATCTGGAGTACACCTAGGTTCTGTAAAGCAATGTATCTATGACATTGTGACATGCTTGCGTTGGTTTAGCACAAATTAAGCTGAATATATCATGCAATCAGGCTCACAGTAAGGAAAGCATTGTTCACCACCAAAAGCCTGTCAAAAATCAGATTCCCACGCCTCTTTATGCTCCCTGCATGGCCGTCACAACCGACTTACAACTGGGGCTCCTCTTGCTTTGCTTCAACCTGGGTGAGAGGTACTAGTATGGGCACCTACTCAGCCAAGAAGGCTGCAAACTGCCACAATCTCGCTCTGGCCCGTGCTAGAAAGGAGAATATATCTGCTACACCGTCTTCGGTTGATGGAGCTCTTGTCTACCTCGAATCCTCTCTCTCGGATGCCAGGGCAGCCTCCAGTCTTCAGAGCTCTCGTATATCTGCACTCAAAACCGATCTCAAGAAGGAGAAACGCAGGAACAGGACGGCTAATCGCACAAAATCTGATATGGTGTCTTGCCTGCAATCGAAGAATACGGAGATTTTGCATCATGCCACTGCTCTTGGACGCCTAGCCCCATCCCAGCTAGGAGGTCAGCCTGACCTCCGCCCGTCTCAGTTTTGGCTGTTTGGGGGGTCAGTGTATAGCCACAGACGTGCTGAGTCCAGTGGTACTTTCCACACCCCGTGTTATATTGGTGGATGTTCCGTAATTCATCGTATCCTCCTAAAATGGTGAGAAGGGTCTGCAAGATTATTCAGCCGTTATATTCCCACGATTAGTAGGTCAAAAAATCGTGTTCTCCAAGCCCCTCCCTCCGGTCATTTTCTCTGTATTTTAGAAGGTTCATAAATTGCAGTATTCATCGAACAATTGGTTTTTTAAATCTAAAGAAATGATGCTCATAATTCACCGTCCGTTTTTCTCGACGGTTCCCAACTGAATCGCTACTCACTGTCTGACAACGCCTCTTCGTAATTGTGATGGGTACCTCCCTGAATATTTTCGCGATTTAAGGTGCTGTGGGCATTACCCCACCAATATTTTGGTGGGGATGTTGCCGGGAGGATTGCTTGCTGCCACGGTGATCGTGGGACTTTGGCGAGCTCGGCAGGGGGTCAGAACGTGCGTCGTGACACTGCCACGGTGAACGTGGGACACGGCCTGCGTGGCAAACGCGTGTTGTAGCACCGCCACGGTGATCGTGGGACCCGGTCTGTTCGGCGCCACGTGCGGCAAGGCACTGCCATGGTGAGCGACGCGTGTTGTGACACTGCCACGGTGAATGTGGGACCTGGTCTGTTCGGCGCCACGCGCGGCAAGGCACTGCCACAGTGAGCGACGCACGTTGTGACACTGCCACGGTGAACGTGGGACCCGGTCTATTCGGCGCCACGCGCGGCACGGCACTGCCACATTAAGCCATGTGGCGTCTGGCCTTTGCCCGGCCGCACGGGCCGGTATCGCCACAGCAATATCCGGATTGGTCGGGATCGACGGTGAGCGTGGGATCAAGTCACGGGGGCGTGGAAATCGAGCTGTCCATCAGCTTCCTGGGCGCTGATGGGGTTGGACTTTGCCCTTTGCCCCGCTCGCCTGCTGGTCACTCGACTCCCGCCTCCCGCCTCCCGCCCTCCTCCTCTCTCGTTCTTCTCTGCGCTGACGCCGACCCCTCTCTCCCGCCCGCCGCCACCGGCGGCGGCGGTGGCCTTCCACGCTGCTGCCAACGCAGGCGATCGCTGCCCGCAAGATAGGGCTGGCGAATTTGTTGTGAAGGGGGCGCAAGGTGAGTAAACACCTTCTTTTTTGGTTCCGTTTCGCGACGATCCCGGGTCATCCAACCTCCGGCATCGGGGTGCATAGTCGCCTCGACGTCAGGAGGTCATTTATCGCTTTTGAGTATCTGCTTCCGACACTGCTAACTTTCCCCCCCCCCTGTTTTCCAGGATGCATATGAGCCACCGTCCTCGCGACACGGCTTTTTCTCCACCACCACTCACCCCACCAACGTGCTCCTTCGGCAGCAGGTAAGTCCCCCCTCTCGCATGCTTGTATGCGCGGCTAACGCGCATTTGGCATTGCAGATGACCGTTAGTTGTTGCTGCAGCCGCGTAAGTACGGCCCTTTTCCCGTGTTTAGCCGCTTATCCACCTGATGAGCTCGTCTCAATGGCTGTGGGCAGAGGAATTTGTTCCTCCGCTTGTCTCGGTCAAATTCCAGATCCCTTGTTTCTGCCGTTTATCGGCCTCAAGCCCCAGGACCTCGGTCGCCGCTGGATCGCCCCATCGGAGGGATTTGTTCCTCCGCTTGTTTCGGCTTATCTTCAGGCAGCTGTCTCGTTGTTTGTGGGCCCCGAGCCCGAAGACTTCGGCCGTCGCTGGATCCCCGCGGTTGCCGGTCTTGTCTTGTCCTCGTCCTCATCGCAGCAGTTCTCCTTGCCTCCTCGTTGCCCCGATTCCGCCTCACTGCCGCTCTCATACGGTCTCCCTCATCATGGCCGCCGCCGCAGTGTACCGATGCATGGACAAGACGTGTCCATGCACCGAGGACTACGCCTACACGAACGCGGCCGCACACCACGAGGCTTGGCATCAGATGCATGGCCGGACCACAGTCGACGGCCAGGTGGTCAACCTCATTCGCGACCCGGACACGTATATGGTTCGCTGCCCTTACTGCCCGTACGAATCACAAAGCTTCCGACCCCTCAGGGTATGTATATCGCTTTCATGTTGTGTTTCGCATTGCTGATTTGTTGACAGGATCACGTTCGGAGCGGCTTGTGCCCCGGCCTGATGGCCTCATCCTCCCTCGGGAGACCTCGTTGACAGGCGCCCGCCGTCCTCCCCCCCATACACATTCCGCCATCACCTTCACCTCCACACCATATTCCGCAGGGTTTGCCCCCTACCCATGAGCCGTCGCCTGTCAGCTGTTTGGGCACAGCGGTCACAAGACTGATGGGAGGGTTGGCTCGCCGGTTCTCTCTAGGGTCAGGCCCCTCCTCTAGCCGACCCGCGTCGTTACCATCATCATCCTCACTGGCAGGGCATGTTGTCGACAACGATGGCCCCACCAAGTGGAAACGAGGCTCGTCAACCGCGACATCGTCCAATGTTGCCGAAGAGAGCCAGTCGGGGGACACCCGCCACCGTCTGTGTTCCCAACCAAAGACCCAACACATCATGCGCTCCTCCGACGACGAGGGGGCCTCCACACCTGCTCCGGCGTCCATCTCTTCCCTCGCTCGCGACAACAACAACAACGACCCTGATGGCGACCTGTACTATGACGGCGGCGACGGCGGCGACGGGGATTCCTCTGATGCTCATGCGGGTGAAGCGAGCGTTGGGAACAACAATGTCAAGGACAGCTACGTTCATGACACCAAGGGTGCGACTGACTCTCAGTCTCATCACGACAGCAGCTACGTCCTGACCCCTCCGTCTCCTGATGTAGAGGTTGATGGGGAGGTTCCCCCCGACGAAGACGTTGACGTTGGGGAAGATATCTGGGAGGGCTCAGACGCTGAGCCCGAGCGTGTAGTCCGGTCATCGGACATCTCTCCCCTCCTCCCTCCCCTCGAACAAGTGTTCGAGATCAAGCGTTTGAAGGCCACCGTGCACCGGGGCGACCATCATTGGCAGCCGCAGGACCAGGAATCCCAGCGTGTTATGAGCAAGGCTCGTTGCGTCGTCGACACCCAGTATAGAATAATTATATGCACCAAATGTCAATACGCGCTCGACCCCGAGTGTATACGCGGTCACTTTAAATCCGAACACCGCCATCTCTTGACCGACGAGCAAATCGATTCGGTCGCATCAATATGCGTCTCCCTTAACCTTTGAGGCCCCGCCATCATGAAGAAGGTCAGGCCTCGCAACCGCAAGATTCATTACGGTCTCGCCCTCTTCCTGTCCATCATCTTCTGCGCGCGCTATCACCATGGTTTTGAGACGGAGGCTTCGTACACCCGGTTGCATAAATGTAAAGCCACGCCCGTCCGTTCTGCCCCTAATGCACCGCGAACCTACCGAGCAAAAGCTCAGACCTTTTTCAACAACAAGAAAGAACGCCGGTTCTTTCCCGTTGAATACGAACCGGTCAATCCCGTCACGAACAGTGCCAAGGCTAAGCAAGCTTGGAGTCTCGTCAAGCCTCTGCTCATTGAACCGGCCTTTGAGCAAATTCCCATCCAGTTGCCGGATAATCTACGTCAGCTCTCTGTCTTCAAACGGCGTGAAGGTTGGTGTCGATACGTGCGCGGCATGTCGGGTGAGAAGATTCAAGCCATCCTGGACGAATCTCGTGATCCTCCGGCTATCAACATTCTGGCCCTCTATCTCGAGCGATATGTCGACGCCGCCCTGTATGCCTTGGAGGACGAGTCGTATATCATACAGTTGAAGCTTGCCAACATCGGACTGTGAGTCGCGTTCATTCTCCCCGTACATTGTGCTGTGTCTAAATCTTGTTCTCTCTCTCCCGTAGACGACCCGATTTCAAGGGTTGTGTCCGTCGCATAATGACTTGGCCCGAATATGTCCACGAGTTCATGCCGATTCTTCAGTTTGTCCTCCGTGCTGCTCGCGGCGATTTCCCCGACGACTTCTCCTTGCCGCTCACGGAGGTCCAGGGGGCCTTCGCCCGGGACTTGATGACGCACCTCGAGAACGCACACGACACGGATGCCCAGCCTGTCGATCTCGAACAGCTCGAAACCAACCACGAGGAGAAGGCTTTCATGAACTGTTTCGGCGAGGATCGTCATATCATGAAGTCACTCCACGGCCTCCTCTGGTCCCTCGTCTCACACAAGAAGGTCGGGTGCGACCCCAGCAAGTTCTACACCCCGTTGTACAACTATCTTGTCCTCAGCTCCTACGATGCGCAGGGCCACCTCAAGTTTGCAACATCAATCTCGCATGTCATTGCTCCGCTTCTCTTTCTCTGTCGCGTGGCCATCTTCGTGCAGGGTGTTCTATATTCTCAAGAGCAGGAGGTTCCTTATCTCGAGTGAGTCGAACTTGCTTTTATCTTGGATCAATCTCGCTCATTGTCTTTCTCTAGAATATTCCCTCTCATCCAGCCATGTCTCCTCGTCGAGTCGTGTATGCCGCTCAGGCTCGTCCTTTGCATGAATCAGATCGTGTCCACCATCCGCCTATCCATGGCCCAGCTAGGAGTTGAGCCTCAATTCCGTCTGTCCCAGTTTTGGATGTTTTTATATTGTCTACATAGCCACAGGTTGTGTGTATAGTGTCGGAACATCGTGGGAAAAATGTATGAGCCAATCTCATTAAAAAAATCGCATTTCCAGCAGGAAGAACATCACTTTGTGAGTGCGGATGTGGCAGTGTAGCAATGGTCGGGGGCTCAGAAAATAGATACACGTTGCCCGCATCCCCTACACATTTTTACGTGATTTTAGACGGCGATATGAGTCTTTAATCGCGATGCGTCGACGTTTTTAATTCGAGAAAAAATACAAAGCAAAGTGCGTCGACGCTCTTGCGCAAGAACGGCTAAGTAAATACTGTGCGTCGAGCTATGTGAACCCATTCCAAACGTCTGAAAGTACCTATATCCGAGTCGGCTCAATATTGGTGCGGGAACTCATATGGCAGGAATATATCTATGCATGTTTTTGTTTGAACACCCTCTGCTCTGCTGATCCCGCCGGTCGCATGGCAACACTGCCACGAAAGGAATCTTGTGTCGACTGTTTACGGTCGACGCAGGCTTCATCGTGGGACGCCGCCGGTCGCATGGTAACACTGCCCGTGCGTCCCCGGCCCGACGCAGACCGTGCGAAAGGAATCTTGTGTCAACTGTTTACGGTCGACGCAGGCTTCATCGTGGGATTCCATCTGTCGATCCCTGATGAGCGCTGATGGTGATGGTTGGTGTTGGGCTTAGGGCTACTCGACGTCTTCCCTCTTGCTTCTTCCCCTCTTTGCCCCCCGTCTCGTTGCTGTCCCGCCTCCGCCTCTGCCTGCGTCTCCATCCGCGCCCTTCCCGCCCCCAACGGGGCAGGCTTACATAGCTCGGCGTTGCCAACGTGTGCCCTGTCTGCCCGCAAGACGAGGGCGTTTAGTATGCGTCGCAAGGGACGGCATCAGGTGCACCCTCGTTGGCTTCCTTTTAATTTTTTCTTCAACGATCCCGGTCATACGCCCTCCGGCGTCGTTTTACGACGTCAGGAGGGTCTTTTTCCACTTTTCTTTTTCTTTTTACGGATGCTGATGAAGTTGCTACATTTCAGATTTCTCCTCATAATGAGGACGTTCACGTCGCTCCCCCCATATCCCGCCTTTTCCTCTTGCCCCCACCTCTCCGCCGGTCTCCTCTCTCTCTCGAAGACGTAAGTTCCTACTTCACTCTGGTTTTTTTTTACTTACCTTTTCGATAGTGACTACTTGTGGCTGTGCGGCCACCAGCTCCCTCCAATATCCCCTCAACCGCATTTGCTAAACCGCGCGTCGGGCTCGTCTCGACGTCAGTGGGCGGAAGGACTCGTTCCTTCCATTTGTTTCGGTCGTATTTTCAGATCCTCGTGCCCCATTCCCTCCGCTGGACTCCGGACCCCCCGTCTCCCTTGGTCGTCATTCAAGACTGCTTAGCCCGTTACCTGGTCCCTGGATCTCGGGATCTCCTCACCGCCGGGTTCGTGCTCGCCGGACAGTATCTTTCGTCGTTCGTCGGTGCCGTCTCCACTCTCGCCCCGCCCATTCTTGCGCTTCGCCTGCTGTGCCAGCGTCATGACTCCAACCGTTTTGTACAAGTGCTTTGCGCCGGACTGTCCCTATCCCAACGATGATCTGTACGACTCGCAGGATGTGTATGTTCGGGGACGACACCAGAAGGAAGTCAAATGCACGGGAAAGGACGGCAACCTATATGCCATTCCGCGCGACCAGTCGACGGGAATGTTCCACTGCTCCCTTTGTCCATGGCAGACGTGCCATTCGAAGGCTTTCCGGGTACGTTTCTGATTAGTCATTTCAGTGTTTCATTCATTTAACTTTTTTTTTGCAGACTCATCTGGCGAGGGCAGAATGCTGTGTCATGAATACACAGCTTGCGACGCGAGCGACGGTCGCTGTGATCGCCGCACCTCATCCGCCCCCTCCCTCCCTGCCCGTTCCCTTATCGGAAGTTTCCCAGTCATTCCCCACCGAACCCTCCCCGCCTGACCCTTCACCGAGCGGTCGTCTAGGGGCAGTAGTTTCCGGCCTGTTTGGTGGACTAGCCCGTCATTTTTCTGGATGGCCGGATACCATTCGCGGCAACGAACCTCGGCCTCCGCTACCTTCGGATCACCATCTTGATGCTCCCCGCAAGCGCAAGCGCGTCTCGTCCACAGAGTCATCTGCCGCCAATGAAGATACAGGGGTGCACCGTAATATCAATGCGCAGATGCGTCTTCGTCAGAGGGTCAAACGGGACGTCGCCTGCAGCTCCGATGAGGTGTTGGACCCACGCGTTCCCCCTCTTCATAACTCCTTGTCTCATGGGGACGTTGAAGAGGATGACATTGAGTATGTCAATCCGGACCCTGAGCCAGACGTTGCGGCCCCGAAAGACATTACCGCGGCTGCCCCTCCTGATCCTTCCACTGCACCTCAAGGCAACTTCCCAGACGGCAGTTCGGATTACGATTCGAGCTACCGCCCCTCCTCCCGTGGTGGATCTTCTGTCAGCGAGAGTGGATCGGAAGATGAAGACGAAGATTGCGAGGACATTCTCGTCGGCTCGGATGAGGAACGCGAGCCCGTTCTTCGATCGCCGGACATTCCCGGGCATCTCAGCACGGAAGAACGGAAGCTTGAGATCCGTCGCTTGCAGGCCACAGTCCATCCGGGCCTGCATCACCTGCAGCTGGACAATGATGAAGACAGAAGCCTCCTCAAACGAGCATTTTGTGTAGTGGATATGCAGTACCATGTACTTATTTGCATGCGTGAACGGTGTGGATACGCGTGGGACCCTGCCCACTTGCACGGGCACTTTAATAACAGCCATTATCAACACCTCTCTTACGACGAAATTGAACGCATCCACGCCATTTGTACTCTCCATGATCTTCGCGGTGCTCGCGAGATGAAGAAGGTCGTGCCGCGCAACCGCAAGATTCACTATGGCCTCAAGATCCACCCATCCATCGTTTTCTGCTCGTCTTGCAATCACGCTTCCGTCTCCAAAAGTTCTCTGGCGCGCACGCACAAGTGCCGCGCGCTCTCCGACTCCTCCGCCGTCCCCTCTTCTCAGCGCACTTATCGGGCGAAGGCTCAGACGTTTTTCAGCGGCAGTCGGATGCGGCGGTACTTCCCTGTCGAGTATTGCGCAATGGAGCCGATCATCAACGATGCTGCAGCCAAGGAGGCCTGTAATCTGGTCAACTCGCGGCTCATTGAACCCGACTTCGAGCAAGTCCCCATCAAATCCCCAGAGAACCTTCGGCAGCTCTCAATGTTTGAGCTGCGAGAAGGATGGCTACGCTACGTGAAGGGCAAGAGCGGCACCGAAATTCAAGAGATCCTTGACGAATTGAATGATCCGGACATCGTCGATCTACTTTTGCTTTATTCTGAACGGTATATTGACGTCGCCTTGTACGCCTTGGAGGATGAAACCTACATGATCCAGTCGAAGCTTGTTAATATCGGATTGTAAGTCCATCCGCCGTCTCTCGCGTCGAATCCGAAGTCTCATTGTTCTTCAGGAAAGACGAGTACAAGGGTTCGATCCGCCGCACCCAGACCTGGCCTGATTATGTCCGCAAATTCATCCCTGCCCTGCGTCTTGCCATCCACGCCGCTCGAGACGCCCTTCCTGAGAACGTCACTATGCCTCTCACGGACGACCAGCGGACTTCTTCTCTCGAGTTGTTCAATCAGCTCGAGAACGCGTACGCAAACAACGTGCTGCCTGTCAGCATGGAGCAGCTGGAGGAGGATCGCATGAAGACGCCTAACATGGAACGTTTTGGCGCCGATCGTCCCGTCATCGAGCCTCTTCACCGTCTCCTCTGGTCTCTCGTGTCTCACAAAAAGGTCAGCTGTAATCCCAGTAAATTCTACACGCTCCTGTACAACTTTCTCGTGCTCAGCTCGTACGACGCGAACGGACAGTTGAAGTTTGCCACCATCATCGCGCACATGATATCGCCTATTCTCTATATCTGTCGTCTCTCTGCCTTCGTGCAGGGTGTTTTGTACTCGCAAGAGAGGGACGTGCCATATCTTGAGTAAGTCATGTTTCCGGTCAATTCGTGATGCCGCTGCTCAATGGTTTCCCTCAGGATATTTTACCTAATCAACCAGTGTCTTGTTCTCAAGTCGTCTATGCCACTTGGCTTCGTCCTCTGCACGCATCAACTCATTTGCAGCATTCGGTTGGACGACGAAGGCATGCCGTGGATTCAATTCGCCGATAAAAACTACAGGACCTGGTCTCATCACGGGAAGGTCATCAGCATGTTGACGATCGGTGATGCGATACTGAAGGCCGCAGAGGAAGCCATGCGCATCATCAAGGATGAAGTTCTGTGCGGCATCCCCATTACTCACATGGTGTTCGACTTCAAGCGGACCGGCTTGGTAGACTCGCCGCACAATACAGCCTTGCACTATTCCTTCGCACTGCACCCGGACAACAATTTCGAATCTTACCGCAAGACTCTGCTCAAACTATGGACCGCGACTCAGCGCACGCGCCAACGTTTTGTGAACAAAAAGGCTCTACCCGGCAAGTCCGTTTGGCATGTCGCCGAGGTCAAAAAAGTTTACGCGCATTACAACCGCGTCCAGGAAATATTCCTGGCCATCACCTGGTTTGCTTGCGGTGCCCCTGGGCGTGCAACGGAATGGCAGGCGCTCATTGGCAGCAACACTCAGCAGGGACATATGCGGAGCCTGTACGTGTTTACCGATGAGTTCTACTTCGTCACCGGCTACCACAAGAACCTTGGTGCAACCGGCAAGCAGAAGGTCACCACCAAGCTCGTGCCGGAACAACTGCGCAAGCTACTGCTTTGGTCGAAGGTAATCGTGCAGCCCGCGATGGAGTATCTCGTAGAGGATGTGAGCCAACCTTCCCCTTTTCTATCTGACGTTTCAATGCTGAACCGGTCCTCAGACTCACGGCCACGACGCGCGGATGCAGATGTATGACGATGTATTCCCTCTGGCAGCAGGCACCCGACGACCCGACGTGCTTGGGAGCACCTGGACTGGGCTTATGCAAAAATATCTCGGCGTGGAACTGAACATTCACGACGCTCGCGCCGTGTCTGCCGCAGTTGAAGCTTTCCAACTGAACCTCGACGCAGACATGCAGCAACATGCGCTCCATTGGTGGCACCGAATCATGGCCCAGCAGCGAGGTCATACACCCGAAACGGAAGATAGGTTTTACGCCTTGTCGTTTTGGATGATGAGGTCGGTGAGCCCATACCAACTGCGAGGGTTCACGTACGGCTCTCAGCTTCATCAATCATAACTCGGATTTTGTGCCCATCCCGACTCGCCGCAGGCGGCACCCGCCTCCGCTGCTGTCAATCCTCAAGTGGTAGTCTGCGTTCCGACGCTTGAGTCCCAGAAGCAGACGGCGCAATTTGTGCTCAGTGGTGTGGCTGACGCACTGAACCCGTCGTTCGCGCATACAGTTTCCTCCATCCTTTCTGTCATTCCTCATGTATCTGAGTCGCAGCAAACACTTCCGAAGGAGAAGAAGCAAATCCCGGCGTTGGCACTTAAGGCTCTTCGTGACCTGCTCCGTGACCTGGACATGTCTTTCTGTTGCTTTGAACGAGGCGAGGCCATCACCAACGCGCTGGCTGGTCACAATGTGCTGGCCGTCTTGCCTACCAACGCCGGCAAGAGTTTCGTCCCGCTTGTCATCGCGCACTACTACAGGCCCTGCGGCAAGTTTATCGCGGTCGTCGTACCGATCTCTGCGTTGCTTCAAGAGTGGGCGAAGAAATGTACACGACTGCATCTGTCTTACAGTGTGTGGGGTTTCGATAATCAGACCCCAGAAGCGTCTGTGATCCTCGTATCGCCCGAGCACGCCGCCTCTCGGGAGTTCTACCAATGGGCACAAGATCAAGCTGTGCTTACGAAGCTCATTGTGCTGGCGTTCGATGAATGCCACCTTGTCGTCGAACATGCATCGTTTCGTGACTGTTTCCATCAGCTCGCGCGCCTCGGAGCTCTCAGCCTGCACGTTATATTGCTCACGGCCACCACCCCGCAGCGTATCCTCCCGACTTTGCTGTCAGCATTGGGCAGCCGCCAGCCCCAGACCGTTTGTGCACCAATCATTCGACCGGAGATTAAGTATCTGTATCGTCACTTCTCGGACCAATATAAAGCTATCGACTTTATTGGCGCGGAGTTTGAGGAGCGCCTCAAAAACTATGGCCCCGAGCATTGCGCCATTGTCTTCGCACATTCCGTGAGCCAGTGCGAAGACATCTCCACAGTTCTATCTTGTCAGGTCTACTCGGGCCAGCTGCCTCCACAAGAGCAAAAGGAGGTCTACGACCAATGGTCTGAAGTTGGTCCACTCGTCACGGCGACTCTCGCCCTCGGGTACGGCATTAACGTCCCACATGTCCGCGATGTGTTCTTCTTTGGCCTCCCCAGCAACTTCCTACTCGCCCAGCAAGAGTCAGGATGGGCTGGTCGCGATGGACAACCCGCCCGAGCATGGTTCATCGACATCACCAACCCCAAGTTCTTCCGACACCCTCCGAAGGCACACAACCTCCTAGGTGACACCGACATCGTTTCCGCTCTTCGCTCTACCAATTGCTTGCAGCTTCCCTTCAGCCAGTTTTTTGACGGCCATAATATTTCTTGCCTGGAGCTTGCAAATGTCCAGCTATGCATGAACTGCGAGGAGGCTATCCGCCGCCCTCCTCCTCTTCTATTTCCCCGTCAGGATCCGGCCTGGGGCGAGTCAACCATTCGCCCCTACCTCCCGTTGACCGACGGGCTGCCGTGTCCCAATGTCATGGCCTTCCCAGGCGTTGGCGAGTTGGTCGTGGCTCGTGCAAGGTACGTGTGCCCGTCCGTGCATCAACACCGTTCATATTTCTGATTTCATACACAGGCAGAATGAAGCGACCATCCCCGCGCATCCTCCTGCTCCCAGTTACTCTCTCCCTCCTTCTTCGTCTCCCGTGCCTCGTCCCGCAACGCCTCCCGCGCCCGCGCCATCCGCACTTCCTTCCCCTCCAGCCACGAAGCACGGACATGATGGAATAATCGATCTATGCTCGGAGACAACATACGGCTTGTCCGACGGCGACAACGACCTCTACATGGACATCAACACCATTGCATTGGACAAGCAAATCCAGGGCAAGGGCATCGGTTGTACTTATATCACGCTCAGCACCCCGTCATCAATACCTTCCTCCATGGCCTGTCAAATATTCAGCGACCTCCCAGCGCCTCAAAACAAATCCAATCCCCCTTCATCCGCGCTGCCCTCATCCGTCGCCACATGTCTTCCTTTGCCACGGCCCATGGCCTCAACTCCAAGAACGGTGCTTCCTTTGCAAATTGACGACGTGTTCGGCAGCTCGCTATCCGGCAGCCCCACCCCGCACCCTCATGGACGCCGCCAAGGGTTGGTTCAGCTCCCGTCGTCGTCCCCGACGCCGACGCCGTTCGCTAACGTAACTAGACTCACGGGACCTTTCCCCAACTTCACTGTTCCAGCACGCAAACAGGATGGTCCCTCGTCGTGTGAACCACGTGGCACGACGCAGACGCAACCTCGCGTGTTGACTTCAACCTCTGAGCTCATCGTCGAGTCCTCGTGCGGGTCTGGCGGCACCCTTTTGCACCGCAATTCTTACAAAGGAACCTTGGCGCTGACACGCTCTGCCCCGCCCATCAACCAAAAGATGCGGCCGCTGCCGCCGAATGTTCACAAGGTTATGCCCTATCATGCCAGGGGTTATCGCCACCCGGCTTCAGCGTAAGCTTCTCGGTCTCTCACTTGCGCATTTTGGCTGACCCTTCGTTACAGGGAATGTTTGCCATCGCCACCGCCATTGTCGGTGCCACAGGGAAATACTTACATAGCACCGGTCGTCCTGCTTCCACCCCCCAGCGCTGCGACCTTCGACTGGACACGGCCGCCTCAAACAGAGGTGAATATTGCAACATCCCAGGCACTCGATTTCCAAACGTCCATGATTGCCAAGGCCCTCAAAACAATCAGGGAACTAGCGGCCAAGACATGCGTCGTCTGTCGGATCCAAAATGTGGATCACTACGTCAAACATCCCATCACGGATTGTCTAATGTTCCAGAAAACGGGCCGGGGAACATACATCGGATGGCTCAAGGCTCACACCCAGAAACCCGGTCTTTGCTGGATGTGCGGGTTCACGACAGTAAGGCCATTGCCTTGACGGGTTGCTTATACTTTGACTGACGTTCATCAACCAGGCGAAGTGCGGCAACTTTCCGAAGATTCACAGGGCCTGGCCTTCGAGGGCAAAATCTGGCGACATATGTGGTGCGCCAGATCACAACAACCGACTCCTTCTGCCCGTCGCCTTCGTTTATGCCCACAACCCCCATCTCCGTGAAGCCGTTCACGCTCGGATTGGGCAATATCAAGACCTCCTCGGACTCGCTCCTTCCCTCAGCACACGGCTGGATCAAATATCACGGTGGTTGTTTGATTCTCAACCGGGCTGCAGTTACCGATTCTTCTACGTCGTTTGGACCATCTTCGAAGCCTTCAGTATTTTCAGTACGTGAATCTGTTGGCAGATCTTCATTGTATTGCTCATATATATATCTCCAGCACGTACTCATACTTAGCTTCAGTATTGTGACCAACTAGTCTCATTGCTCATGTACATTATGACTCGCAATCCATACCTCGGGATCTGATCCTATTTGCGTGAATGTACTTGTTCCCTTGTGACAAGCTTCGACCCTCATATCAGATGATTCCCGTGTGTGTAAGCTAATACTCTTGCCCGTGTGTCATGCTGAATCACTTGACGGCTTGTTTCGGGCTCGTGCGAGGTAAACTCTACGTTGTATTCACGAAGGCTCAATAAGATATAGTACAGCAAGATCTTTCCATTAACATATGCTCCATGGTACACGAGATTGTATCTTCACAGCGTCGAGGGACTCACGTAGGAGGGATGCCGGGGTGCTGGAAGGGGAGGGAGGGGAGTCGGCGGAACTCATCGCGGAACGTCGTGATGTACGCGTTGACGACCACTCTTTCGTACGCGAGGTAAGACAACTTCGAGATTTGCTCTCTGTTCAGCGTGTACGTTGGCAACACCGGCGACCCTGCGACCTTCCAATCCTTCATCAAGAGCACCAGCGCGTATACATAGTCGCCCCACGTTCTCCCGTCCGCGTTCCTGAAGCCGTTCGAAGATGCAGGTTTGCGGTCGAAGTCGAAAGCATGGTCCGCCATGCAGGCGCGGATGGCGGCGATGGTATCCTCGAAGGTCTTCATTGGCACCTTCCCGTCGCGGTACTTGCGCCCAAGGAAACGGTAAGCGAGGAGGAGAAGATCCTGGTGGACGGCGTGTTTGTTGATGTCCCAGATGATTAGGGATCCCCAGGCCGCGCTCTGAACGTCGCTGGCGATCACCTTCTTGCCAAAGTACGAAATGTTGGGGTCGACTGTCGGGAACGCAACGTGGCACTTGCTTGCCAGCTCGCGGATGGTCGTGACCACGACGAGGAGGCGCTCGTCTTTTGATTGCGGCGCAGCTTCAGGATCGAAAAGCTTCGACCATTTGTCGGTCTTCAGCAGTTCCTTCCAGGCCATGCGACCAAACTGCAACGATTGGACGTTCTCCAACGAGTGGAGAAACCGAACGCTGCCGAGGAGAGCTTGGAATTGCACCCAACCATACCGGCAGTTTGTTGACGTTGCGGTACCATCGGCGGTGATAAGCGTTAGGGGTGGGGTCGACATCATGAACGGACGGTTGACGGAGACGGGAACACTCGTGATGAGCATCTTGAAGACGGCGAGGATCGGGGCTGGCATCAATACGCGCTTGAGATCCGCGATGGTGTTGTACAAGGTCACCTTTTCCGCCTGAAGCTGTCGACCTCGATTCTCGTCTTGTGTTTGCCCCTTGAGCTGTGGCACGTAAACCTGCAACGCGGATTGACGGGCAGCCATCGTAGCTGAAACCAGCGTGTCAGCAAATGTTGCGCTTGAAGATAAGGAGAGACGACGTACATTTTGTCGTATGCGACGGACCCGCCACGGGCTGCGAGCGTGATGGACCCGCGACCGCCTCAGACTCTCTGGCGTGGTAGATGGAGTTGAATTGGACGCTTGCAAGTCCGAATTCGTTGGTGTTCACGAGGGCGGGATACTCGCTCGTCTCAACACCACTGATAGAACCGTGTATGTGCCCCGCGGTCGTCACGTACGATGACGGCAAAGACCTTTGCAGCTTATCGACGACACTGTTAGCCCCCGCTAGGGCAATCTCCACCGGCTTCCCACTATGACGATTGATGTCCCAATTCTCTTCCTCACGAAACACGTTGAGGATTTTGGCGACCGCCATGTTTTGCAGTAACTTGGCCTGGGTGATGAAGATCCAGACCGGCACGCCCTCGTCATACAACTCCCGTAGCCGTTGGTAGTCGGTGACGAACGTGCCGACAATGGACCAGGTCGTCAAACGAGGGTTGACATGGGGTGCCTGGAACCAGAAGTACAAGCCCCAGGCCTCAAAAAGACTCCGCTGCGCGTTGGAGGACAGGATCATGAGGTTGTCCAGGTGAACCCCGTGCTCGACCACGGCGTGTACCACGGCATGGTGCATCCTTGCGATAACGGTGTCGGCGAGGACGAACTTGCTCTCGTCGCCACCGTGCACCGGGGGCGTGCTCACTCTGCCTGACTCCCACCAGCGCCTAAGGAAATCGCTGTGTCGCTTATAAACTTCCACGGACATGTCCGTGAGCTTGTGGAACGGTCCAGATAGGCAGACGTAGTCGTGCATCTGCGTGAGTTCGGCATGGACGAACCCGCTAGGGAACCCCGCGTGCGGTGTTGGGATCCAAGGGAGATGCGGTTCTGTCGCTTCGTAAAACTGAGGATGAAGCAACCATTCATGTGCGCCGAGGTGGCCGATAGGATAGCGATAAGCCATGGCAAGGCGATTCTGGGGCTCGTGCGGAGGGCAGGGAAGGTCGGTCGCATTGGGCGAGTACAATACAAAGTTGTTGAACAAATTACGAGTGACACGAGCATCGAAATACCGGGCATTTGTTGAAGACAGGGTTAGAGACCATCACCATTGCGCAAGAATGTGAAGAACGTACGTTGCGTACTCCACTCCCAGTTCACCCCTATCCTTGTGTTCGGATGGAATTGAGGCTCAATTCCGTCGGGTACCTCAATCTGTGCAGAATTATCGTGGGAATCCGAATATCACACTCCCATGACCGTGGGAATGTTCCTTCGGCCGCTACAGCTGATTTACTGAATACATGGAATTGAGGATTGGACAGAGTGGGTCTATCAACTTGGGTCATTATCATCCTCCAAAAATCCCTCCATGCGATAGAATCAATGGACACTAGGCTGCATAGCCACACAGCAAGTTTTGGCTCTCCAGATAATAAAATACCTCTTTCAAAATCAGTGCAAAAAACCAAACTAAATTTGTTTGTTCACACACCCGAGTATAGGTGTTAATGTTGTAATATTAAATAGTGTGGAGAAATGATGCAAGAATATGTGGGAATAATGTGGCATTGTAAAAAGTTGAAATAAACGTGTGATGTGATAA